AAATATTTTCATTTAAAAAATTTTTAAAAATCAAAATTACAATCTGTATCAGTTAGGTAAAATTTTTTGTTCCTGAGAAAGGAAATTGAATATGATTGGGTCCTTTTTTAAACTGTGCATATCTTTATTATATTAACAGGGGGTGTGGGGAAGATGACAGGAATAACGTCAATGAACCTACAGAGAAATGACGAAGTAAATGACGGCTAAGGCATCTGTCTTCAGAATCCACGCAAAAAGAAGCCATGCAGATAGATGCAATTTCTGTACATGCTGAATTATACTCAGGTCCTTAAATTAAGAATTTTCATCACGTCTTCTGTAATACCTTACTTTTTGGCAAAGAAAAGCAAAGAGACTCCAGGCAGAGAGGAGTAAAGGAGTGAATGAAGACCAGAACTGTCACATCTGTTTCATGGCTAACGTCACCTAGAACGATACGCATATCTATGTTGTCTGCCAAAGAACATGAATTAATGATGATAATCTATACTGCTTGTTTTTGCTGACGGTAATTCTACACCTAAAAGTACTGTAACGTCGTGACATTAATTCATAGTTAAGCAAAGATTTAGTACAGAGATCAGCTACTTGCTGGATAAGCAGCCTAAGCAGCAGTAAGATTTTCAAGAGTTAAAGGGCTGTGGAATCCCAGGCCATCGCATCAACTGTACCGGAGGGAGGGATTCGTTCCTTTGTGAAACATCACTGCTCCCTGATTTACTTTTTCATATGAAGATTGATCTATTTATTTATTTTGGCGGTACCAGGGATCGAACTCAGGACGTCGCACTTGCCAGGCAGGCGCTTAGCCACTGAGCTGTCTCCCCGGCCCCTTCATACGGATACTTAGGGAGCAAACCCTAATAAACCAAATGCACACGGTCCAACGTCTCCCAGCGAGACGAGCGGCCAGGCAGGGCTAGGGCTGCCCGGAGCAGCGTCGTCCTTGCCAGCGAAACGAGCGCGGCGCGGCCCAAGGAGCTCAGAGGCGGGAAGGGACGCTCGGGACTCCAGGAACGGCGGGAGGCGCGAGTGCACGGCGCCAGCACGCGATGCTAGCTAAGCCTCAGACGGGCTGGTGGGATGGCTCAGTGGTCTAAGGC